AAAACCTTGCAAAGATAATTCAATTACTGTTTCTCTAACACTCAAACATACCTTTTAATAGCAAAGTATAAAAATGAATTTTGCATTTCAGCAGCTTACAGTCCAGACAAATTCATCTGAAAGTCGAATGTATCCCCATAGTTTTGGAAAAGTCAGCATATGGTGTTGTTACACATGTAAAAAATCAACCATCCATTTTTTCAAACTATCTACATATTTATTACCAATTGAAAGGGAATTGGTATCTAAACAACTTTTCTTCAGAAATCTTTCATTTTTGAATGTGTTTAGCTCTCCATAAACTAATATTTTCAAATATCAGAACAGCAATAGCAAAGGTGCAAAGAAACCATCTATGTGAAAACAGAATAAAATAGAAACAAGAATGAGGCCATATGGGAGAAAATAACAATTTGAGCATTCCCTCTGTGCCAAAAGCAGCACTTCAATCAAGGGACACTTTATTGCAGGAAGCTGAGACAATGCAATTAAACACACTTAAACAAAGACAGTAGAAAAGGCACTGCAGAAGTCAAGTAATTTGTACATATTAACAGATTTTGAGAAGAGAAGGAAAAACTTACTCAACCCAAAACCAAATATACATTTAGCTAACTGTCCGGCTTTCTAAAGTAAATGGAAACATTGGGGATAAAGTTTACAGAGTACAATGTGTAAGTGACTGTGAAGCACTGAAACTAAAAAAATATGAGATACGAGTATGAAAAGAAAATTGACTGTGACAGATTTAATTGCTGTCATATTAAAAATATCAAGTAAATTTTTAGTTTTTAAATGGAGCATGTGGCATCTAAAGGGGGAAAAATATTACCTGTGGAACTTGTAGGCTTCTTGACTTTTTTAGCATAGAAAATAAAAGCACTGAAGAGTAAAAGAAAGTTAATTTTGTTTGATTAACTATCAAGCTGTCCTTCTCAATTTCTAGCAGTCGCTTTTGATCTGACTGGTTAGTTCCAGCCAAACCTGGCAGAAATAAAAGTATGTTTTGGTCACAGCTCTTTGCAGGAAAAGGGAAAACGGGACATTCCTACATAGTGCCCCATGGAGGCAGAAGCTTCAGTGACTGTTCAGTCATCAGTATGGCTGCCTGGTCGCCTGTCAATAGACCATAAGTGATCCAAACCCCGTGCTGCCTCTTGCTCTGGCATCATTTATAATGCCTCGGATGAAAGCAGGCTTACTGCTAAGTTACATGGAAAAAAAAAAAACAAACAAAAAAGGAGATCAGGCATTATACTTCACTTTTTGAGAAACAGCTTATGCTTTACTAATGTCCATACACCACAACAACAACAAAAAAAAGCTTTGTTTTTCTTTGCACTTTACAAACAAAACAAAACAAAAAAAACCCCCAAAACCAAAAACATTAAGTCAAACAAAAAATGAAAAACACATACCACTTTCACTGGCTTCATTGACTGGCTAAGATGGTACCATTCAATTAATATGTTTAATATTTTTTTATCTCAAAAGATGGATTAAGGTTTAATTTACTACAACTTATTTAAATTTTACACTGAGGATGGCAATTGCTACTTTCCAATGACCATCTGTATCTTGTTCCTGGACTCGGTACAAGTGCTTTCTCACTAGTAATGACTCTATCCTCACAGTATCCTCTCAATAAACAGCTCTGTTATTCCATTTTACAAACTGAAAATAGAGGTGCAGAGAGATTACTGAACAGTGACCATCAGTTTTGATGCAATTAAGGTCAACTTTTCTCCAAATATTGCAGACCAGACAGAGCTACTTGGGTTTGAAACAGCTCCCCTTGAGTTGGTAAAAACTATGAGTGCTAGTCACTTTTGCAGGTCAAATTCTATAACCTCACATCATAAAATATGATATCTGTATGACATGAAATATACATAATCATAAACAGATTTTATAACACCAACAGAAAGAACAGCACTGAAATCCTCTGAACTCCAGCACAACATGGTAGCACAGGGTTTCCCCAAATTTAACTCTACTTGAACCCATTTTCTTAAGAAATGCAGGAAGGGAAATGCCCACAAAAAAATACTCAGTGATAAGCAGCTATTTATGTGTAGTAATGCATTCCAATGATTAATTAGTCCAGTAAGAACACACCCATTATTTGAAGTCTGAACTTGCTTAATTCACCTTCCAACCACAGAACTGTGGTACACCTGTGTCAGCTGAAGAGATGCTTTTATCAAATACCTCTTTGCCAAGTAGGTGCACATTGACTAATGAAGAAACCCTTACCATTTCCTTAGCTAAGCTAAACAAAGTAAGTACCTTATGTCTTTATTACTAAGACCGATCTCCCCCAGCCATTTTCAAGACTGTTCTCCGGAAGCTGATTTTTCACCATCCTTCCTGGTCTGTCAGCACCAGATGTACTGCTCCAGTGACAGTTATAGCTGATACCTCCTAATTCAATTCCCTTGCTCAACTACTCAAAATTTTTTACCACACCTTTAGCTACAGCCAAAAGGATTGACTTCAAGTTCAAATCCAAATCCTATAATTCATCAACTCCAAACTTGTTGCCCAACTTAGTATTTAGTTGCACTGATTCTGCTATGAAGTTATGTGTCCAATTTATTAATTATCTAAATCACTTTGCGACCTTACTAATGTTCTTAAGTCCCAAATTTATGATTTTCTAGGTAGGTAAAAACATCTGAAATAATTCCGACACAGTTATTTACAATGAGAACCTCCGAGACTCTGTTGCAATGTATGCAACAGCAGACTGATTTGTAGTATGTGCCAACATCTGCAGATGCATAACACTCTGACACTGGATTTTGCAGGTTAGTCATACACAGCCTCACTTAGGGAACCATGTTTGCAAGAGCGCAAATCTCTAGCCAAGGCTCTCCTGGAATTCTCAACTAATAGGACTTAGATTTTATTTTGTAACATAAAATTTAGCAAATCTTTAAAATACTCCAGAACCAACCAACAAGCAATGTTTATTAAAGATGATGATGATGATGATAAATGAAAATAGAGTTGGGTTTTCATTAAATAAATTGATAAATCTAATCAACAGGTGCTTTAAAAATATACAAGCTTTCCATCTGTGTATTTACATGTCATTATACAGCTCTATAAAGATTTTATTTAAAAGGCAAGACCTTTCAGGGACCAGTTCAAAAAGATGAAGGCTGTGACCACAGCACAAGTTCTTGCCCAAAATTCCAGAACTCCTTACCAAAGTGTTCACAGTCAAAAATAGTAACAGACCAGCACATCAGGTACTGCAGATGTCTTAAAGCAAACATATCAGCTCTAACATAATGGAAGCCTTTAGATGTTCAAGGTTTATTTTCTTCTTACATAGGGAAAATTAGGATCACAGTCTCAGGCTACTCCATACCGTCCAATTTTAAGACTTTTGTGCATATCAACACTGTCACTCTGACTAAGCAGGACAGCAGCCTGAACTGTCAGACATTCCAATCCAGCTCAGCTTCACCATTTCTGTGAAGGCGGAGGGAGGGGCAGGGGTTGTCTAAAGGAGAAGAAAATACAGAAATAGAGAAAAAAGTATCTTCTTATAAAATTTCTCCCCTTTTTCAAAGCACTGCTTAACATTTTCTCAAAACATCAGAGTGCACATACTTACACACAACTTCTTCCTGGCTTTTTAAAGCATTGACTAGGAAGCTATCTTTTGTTCCTGAACCTTAAAGGCACTTACACAGGGTTTAATCTTCTCCATCAAAAGTCTTCAGAAATCATATGGCAGAAGGAAATCTATTCCTCTTAAACTACATCAGCCAGTTCCACACCTCCTATTTCTGGTGTCATAGTTTCTGTGACCTCAGGAGTGTCAGAGTGAAAAGGCCCTACCAGTCTTACTCACATTCCTACCTCAGTTTCTCTCTTACACTGGAGTGATGAGTAGGTTACCCATGCCAGGAAATACTTGTCCCTTATTTGAAGTCCTAAATTTAAAAAAACAAACAACAAAACAAACAAAACCCCACACAAAAAAACCAAGAAGCAAAACCGTTACTGTTCTTCCATTTCCCAACTATTTTTCAACTGGTACCTGTCAGAGACTGAAACAGTTAATGATTTATGAGTTCTAGGATTGCCAGGAGACTTTTGCAGGCTTTTGAAGGACTTTTGCATTATACCTATGATGGGCACTGGGTCCATCTCCCCCTCCAGTGCTGCTGAAGGTGTCAAGCCCTGAAAAGGCGAGAAGAGCCGTGTTTACCATGCCCTCCACATGAACTCTGCGCTGGGCTGTCTGAGATATTGGAGGTTCATGGCATGACCCATCAAAGCCCATCCTCCCTCTCTGCCAATCTTGAAAGGCGGGAAAAACCCTTTTACCAGGCCCCACACAGGGACTCTGAGCAGGCCCAGGAGACTTTGGAAGCTCGTGGTATGGCCCGGGACACTATCCATGGATGTAATAACTCATAACTTCTTTGAGTGTGGGGGCTTCCCTCCCTCACCCTCAATGGATTAAGGCCACCACTTCAACAAACAGACATGGAAGCTGCAACTACCAAGTTTCATCGCTGGACCCTGTGGGCGGTGACTATATACATCTTTCCACTCTCATCTTTTCTTTCCCTCACTCTCCCTTACCCTTATCCTGTTTTTCCTTCTCTCCCTTTTGCATTTTCCCTTAAGGTTATCTTTATGCCATATTGCTGTAAGTGATAGGTATAGATGATAACACCCAAAATGCTAACATACCTGTTTACCTTTGAAACAAAACTGTTCTAAAATAAACACTACATATATATGTTTTCAAACACGGATTATTCAGTGTCGTTTCACTCTAATCCATCCCAAGGTATTTATTAATAAGAACCTGGGTAACCCCCCACTTTTCTGGGGCAGGTTGTAACAGTACCTGCTTGAAGATTTCTGCTAGAATAGTTTTCTGGTTGTCATCTTCCTGTCATTTTCATTCTTTTCCAATTTTATGACTTCATAGTTTAAGGTAAAAACTTAAGCAAGGAGGAAGAACTTACTGGTATTGAGAACTCCTCTGCCAAATACTTCAACACTGATGCTCCTCTAGTCAAAAAGTTACTTCTCTCTGCCAGATTGCCTTGAAGTTTTGTGTCAAACTCCTTTCTGACAACTGAAGCAACAGAGTCAATTATTATGAGTTTAACTTTCTTTGAAATAATTTCTTCTTCCAAAGACATAATCCTAAAAAAAGAAAAAAAGAAAGTCACTGATAGCGTTATTTACACAACAGAACCATTTTATAACTCTGAAATTGTTTAAATAAAAGGATTCCTCTAATAAGCTGAAAGTCAGCCCTTCTTTTTCCCTCCTCACACACCACCTCCATTAACATCTACATGTATTGAAGAGATTTGGAAAGGAATCTGAGGCTCACTGGTCCACATAACTCAAGGCAGAATCTCTCCAAAAGAGAGGATTTATAAGAATGTCTAGTTAGCAAGACTATGCTGTACCACCCCTGAATGGCAGATGGCAAGTGGACGTGGAAACTGTGCCTTTTAGCTCACAGTATATGCATCCCATGGTCCACTCCAGATTCCTTGGTGTCTATGTATGCAGAAGGTCAAATGCATTTTCACATAACTCCAAACCTAATTTGTTAATAAGGATGGATGCCATCCAGAGGGACCTGGACAAACTTGAGAAGTGGGCCTGTGAGAACCTAACGAAGTTAAACAACTCCAAGTGCAAGGAGCTGCACCTGGATCAGGGTGGTCCCAGAGACAAGTAAAGACTGGAAGAAAGTGTAATTGAGAGCAGCTCTGCAGAGGACTTGGAGGTCTGCAGACAAAAAGCTGGGCATGAGCCGGCAGTGTGCGCTTGCAGCACAGAAAGCCAACCATATCCTGGGTTGCAGCGAGAGGTGTGGCCAGCAGGTCAAGGAAAGTGATTCTCCCCCTCTAACCTGCTCTCATGAGACCCCACCTACAGTACTGCATTCGGCTCTGGGGTCCTCACAAGAAAGACATGGACCAGAGGAAGGGCTACAGTGATGATCAAAGGGCCAGAGCACATCTCCTACAAAGACATGCTGAGAGAGCTGGGGCTTCTTCAGCCTGGAGAGAAGGCGGCTCCAGGGAGACCTCATTGCAGCCTTCCAGTACTTAAAGGGAGCTTATTTACAAGAGGCAGAGCGACTTTTTACATGAGCAGGTAGTGACAGGACAAGGGGAAATGGTTTCAAACTAAAAGAAGGGAGATTTAGATTAGTTATTAGGAAGAAATTCTTTACTCAGAGGGTAGTGAGGCACTGGCACAGGTTACCCAGAAGAGTTGTGGATGGCCCACGCCTGGAAGTGTTCAAGGCCAGGCTGGACAGGACCCTGAGCAACCTGATCTAGTGGGTGGTGTTCCTCACCATTGTAGGGGGTTGGAAGTAGATGATCTTTAAGGTACCTTTCAACCCAAGACATTCCATGTTTCTACAATATGCTACTAGCTGTTCTTTGATAAAGCTGTATTAGAAGATAAAAGTATCCTTAGAATAATTCTCTCACTAACATCAAACACACAGTATGATGCTAAAATATAACTTAATTAATTTTCATTGCAAAATATGTTCACAAATTAACATAAGGTAACAGCATGACAATATAACACTGCCAACAACAGGATTCAGGCTGATGACTCTTAAACAATTCCTTCCTCCCACAGCTGGAAGGGTTCCTGTCTTCCTGGAAGGCAACTGTACTTTGGAGGAACAAGATCCTCTTTGATGGACAATACAACTCTTATACTATGGTCCCTCCACAATCCAAGAGACAACCTGTCTCATGAACATCTCCTTTAAAGGCTTACGGGGATCAGATGACATAGAAATTGTCTATCAGAAATTTAAAATCATCAACCAGATTAGTCACACGCTATGAAATGAAAAGAGCAATGTCAATCTTTCTGCAGTGCTACTTTGCTGGAGACCATGCTGTTATCCACATGAAAAGGTCTCAAATAAATTAATTACTCTTCATAAAACTTTGATATAAAACCAATATTATTATAGACAAGTCAAAGTGGTGTTGTATTTTTATTTTAAAATCTGGAAAAGAATACCTCTGCAGTACACTGCAACAGGTCAGTTCTCGATAGAGGTGAATGCTACGGGTCATGCAGAACACCTTTTCATCAGAGTCAAAATAAGTAGGGAATCTGTTTCCTGCTATCTCAATCAACCTATTAAAAAAAAAAAAGGCAAAAGCAGAAGGTATATCCCAGCAAAAAGAATACTGTAGGATAATAAGTCATCAAATATTCATGAAGCAAACACAGCAAACCTCTGAACTATAAGCAGATACCAAGTAATACTGGAAAGCTTTTAAAAAGGAAAAGCATACTTTATCAGTCCGACTGAAATACTGGAAGTCAGAACAGTTAGGTTCTCTTCTCAGTGATGCTCAGTCAGTGGTACACAAGGGAAAGACATAACATGTCTGTAAACAAAGAAAGAGAATATCTCCTCTAGAAGGAAACTGCAAAGTTTAGTTACTCAATGCAAAGTTCTTCAAATTTTATACAACAGGTTCCACTCAATGATCAAACATTATCCTATTCTAATTATTGTATCTGAATACTATTTTCATTTAAACAATAGTACTCTCCAACTCAAACCATCTTCCCTTTCACCTTTATCTTGCGGTGAAATCATAAAGTGTCACCACAGAAATTTAACAAGCTGGTAAGAAACAGAAGATCCAGCCAATGTGGAAGCAGGACTGTAAAGAACAGAGCCAGGTTCGACTTCAAGTACTTATGCAAGCAGTACATATATGGAAAGTTTATTTGACAAAGTGAAAATCTCTCCTTAAAAACACAAATAAGGTCATTTGGATGGGTGACTGTTTCTGTTTTACCAGTTACCTATTTGTAAAAATGGCTCAAAAAATGTTACAAAAATCTACTTTTTAGAACATTGCAAAAAAACCAGAAACCAAACAGCATTGTGTCACAAAGTGACTGAGGCTCCAGCTGTCCGGCAACTACAACTGAACCTCTATCCACTCAGATACCACAGGTACAAATGGCATGACTTGATACAACAAAATTACTAGAGCATTTAAGTGTCTGCTTTACTGATAGAACTCAATGTGGGATTCCGTGATTAAATGTTCTCCATTACCTTATTAGCAAATTCAGAAGCCTTCAAAACCTTGAATTACAGTTGCTAAGCATACCACTGTTTATTATCAGAGTAGACTAAAGAAGTATATCAGATAACTGATAACACTGAAAGCAAGTCAGAGGAAGTTGGATTTTTATTATTTGTTGTCAAAATACTTTAATATTCAGAAATTATGACTTGAAAAAAATCTCATGGATGTAAAACTAAACAATTTTCAGTTAAATTGTATTTTATACACAAAATCATTGAGGAAACTAAATGGCATGCATTTTAGAAATGCTGACTGCCTACAAACTCCTACGAAGCCATTGGAAAGAAGTTCCACTCCTCTGAACACAAGGCAATTTTATCTCGGTCCTTAAAGAGATGATCCAAGAATTTAACTTCGAAACTCATAGTTATAATCTGCACACTGAAATTTTTTTCCATAATGAAAGTTTTATTTTTTAATAACAGAAAATGCTTAATTGTTTGTATTTTAAGCAGACATATCCCACTACCTATAGCTTGAGTGGCTTCTAGTGGATTATACTTGTGGGCACAACTTACTGTTATTATCTCAATGCTTTTGATTTAGACCCCTTTCATTAAAATATGTAATGTTAAAGCTATTTTAGGAAAAAAAAATTAAAATCCATTTTATTTGGTTTAAAAACAAAAGCACTAAGCTTGAGTGTTAATATACCTACCCTGAGCAAACAATTTCATTTTAATAGCTTGATTCTCATTCATTAAATACATTACTTATTACACATAAACTTGTCCTGCAGAACTTCCAGAGACAGAATTTTGTCTGCCCACCTGCACAATTAATTATGCAAACCATTTGGGCAACAGTGAGTAGCCATTCAACAGTCTGCAAGAAATGAGATTCCACTGTGCTGTCTAACAAGTGCACATCACAAAGAACATCGTTATACCAAACAACATAAAGCGATACATGAAAATCTTGCCAAGATTGCAGCACTACTCTTAAGAGTTCCATGTGGGTTTAAAGTTCTTTAATATCTAAATCCTGTTTGTCATGATGAGACAAAAATCTCCACAGAACATGTTTTCTGCAATCAGAGCAGATCTATTACCTATCCAGATAATCTGTTCTCAGCTTTGGTTCACAGAAATTTGTACCTACTGTTTTTCACAAGCAATAAGTATGAGTAGCAAAAAAAGCCAACCTAACAAATTCTTTTCAGACTTTCTGAGTATGTCTGGTTTGTTTTCAGTTAATAGCTGGCTACTACAAAACTGATGACAACAATTAGTAATAATGTTATTTTCATCACATTTCCATTCTATGTAATATTGCATTTTCAGCAGTTTCATTTTCATGTTCACCTGATTTCCTTTTCTTTAGCATTCACTTCTAAACAACAAGTCTTAACTCACTCGTTGGGTCCTACACTTTTTTACTATTTACATTTCAGGGATCTGAAATGAAATCTAAGTGCTATATAAGGGGGGAAGCACCATATTTTGCAGAGCCATTGCTTGAAGCTTTTTTTCTTTGACATATTACACTTCAAACTTTTGTGAAATTAACTTGATAAAAAACAGGGTTAGAAACCAAACTTTCTCATCCATAACTTCAAATGAATAAACAATGCAAACAGGTTTGCTTTGATACTCCAGATTCAGGCCATGGCTATAATTACAAAATCATCTGAAATATCTTAATTCTTTCAAAGAATATTTTTCTGCCCATTTTTCTACACAAACAAGCATGTGACTACTATACTTCTTGTCCTTTACCAGACCCTTATGAACTTTTGAACTTGCTCATTCCAAACAACAGGGAAAAAGGAATAGAAATTTCAAAAAATATTAAATCCTCATTGTTTAGAAACATTGGTAGTTAAGTAAAGTAAATTAGAGCTACCTTTAATGAAACACTGCAGGATTATTTCAACAGTTAATCACTCAGTCAACATGGGGAAGAGTGGCAACCAATACATGCATACATCTGTTCTCTCAAGCAAATACAGCACATAGTGTCTCCTGTCCATTCAGAACACACTGTAAGTACACAGCTGAGCAGTTTCGGTCACATGGGCCAAACAGGAGATATCAGAAAAATCAGAGATGTTATAGAGGTAAGGTAGTACAGCATGGCTGCTAAGGATAGAGGAAAAATGCGAGCGAGCTCAGAAGGAAACCAGAAGTGCAGAAGGACACAAGGTCCCACTAAACAGAAGTATGAAAGAAATCTGAAGGAAAACTAGCTATGTCAGTCCTACTGTTCACCAAAAAATCTCCATTTCCTTTGTAGTCAAAATGATGGGCCTTTACACCCTCAAAACCTTCCCCTTAACTCCACAAACTAAATTGCGAAGAAAGATTTCAGGTACAAGACTGATAATAACATCTATAAATTGAAGAGCACGCCATCCACCTTGCCATACCAGAAATTGTAATCTGCAACATCATTCAAATTAGGAAGGTGAGCAAACCATTCTATTAAATTAACTTCAACATCTATAATAACTGCATATACCAGAAGAATGGTTAATAACTACCATAGGTATCGAAAAATACATCATTATTGCTCAGAATAATTGAAGGCTCCAAGATAAAAGGTCCTAAGAAGTGCGTACTTCAGATTTTTGCATCTTACCTTTCAGCACTGAATGCAGACTCTGTGTCAATGTATATAACCGCCCCATCTAGTCCTCCCATGCTTAGAGGCAGTGTAGCCAGAACACTCAGCATAATACAAAATTGAGTTTTGCCACAACCTGGTGGGCTAGTTATCTGGAAGAAAAAAGATTAGTAACATAACATTCATTTTACATAATTGTACTTTTATCTTCAACGCATCAGACCATACTCAAATTTTGCTCCTTCAGCTACCACAAGAGGAGACAGACATGAAAAGATAGAATGCAGCCCACAAAGAGCAACTTCGAGTTACTGCTTTGCAGTCAGACTCATCCACTGAAGAATAAACAGCTTTACGGACCCGGCATTATGCTTGCACTTTATTTTTTTTGACATCATTATTACTTTTCAAATTTGTGGTCCTCTACTCTCTCCCTCACTCACAAGATCTTCCCTAGAAACACTTCATTCTCTTCCATCTCTGTGCTACCTTCTAAAATAGAGAAGAATTAGAAGATTCACAGTTGACATTCACGTGTCACCAATGGCCTTTAGAGCTGAAAACAAAGTCCAGAGCTAATGAGCTCACAGATGTAAATGACTGCTTAGGAATCATCATTACTTTGGTTAAACCAGGTCTCCCTTGGAAATCACAAGGATAATTGCTTATATCTGGTAAAGACTGAATGTTCAGTGTGAACCACACATATACATAAAACAGATTTTATCTGCCCCAGAGACTACACTCTGCTCTGTAGTATGTATTCTTTCATTGGTGTTAACTCCCTATTACCATATTTCAACACCAACACCATTCAATGATCCAGACCAGCTTGCCAATTCTAAGCTTTCACCTGTGCTCACTGAAAGCCCCCTGTGGTAAAGGTTCCAGTACAATTTTAATTGAAGAGAAAAACCACAGGGATCCAAAGAACACATTGTTTGATGAGATCACTAGTTTCTGAGAACAATATTTTTCTACTAGAGATGGCAGTCTGCTGTTCTTTATCCACTGTAGATTTTGCAGAGATTGTAAATGAATGCTGGGCTCTGTGTTCAGATAATTGTAAGTTCATTACTACTATGGCGAGTCTTTAAATACAATCCCACATTGCAACTGCTTCTGGGAAGGGAGATGATGAAATCTTAAATACTAAGAGTGAAAAACAGCTGAGTGACTTTAGGCACTAGAAACAGAACGATGGGTTCATTCTGATGCTAGTAAGTAAAAGCAAGCCTCTCCAGGGAAATTAAACTCCAAAATGAAGCATACCTCCTCAAAACACCTAGTATTGCAAAAAAGAAACCTTAAAACAGAGAGACACTCAAAATTAAACTGATTTTTGAGACTACACACACTAGAGTTTGGTTTTAAGCACAGACACCCTTTAACCACTAGGTATTACAATATTGCTATGGTTTTAAGTAGCAGCAGCATGAGTTGAAGCACAGAAAATTTACACGGAAAGACTGCATTAGCTACAGTTAACAGTTGGTTAAAATCCCTTTAATCACCTTTGTCTTTAAGCAAGGCCTGAAAGCCAAGCCATATCAGTCAATCTACTTGAAGCTTTGATGCAACAGAAGCTTTAGATGATTTTTGTTTAGAAGCACACATTGCATTTAGAGAATGAGAGATCAGGAATCATCATATTCATGCAATTATCTGTCCTTCAGCCAGTGCACTTAAATTACAGAATATCATATCAACAATGGCCACTACATTTTATTCTAAACCCAAAGCATATATAAAAAATGCAGAGGCAATACACATTCCTTAGACTGTGATGGCCAAGGAATCTCACCAGCTGTTTCTGGTTAAAAAGAAGACTTGAAATGAATGAGGGGAGGGCATCAATCCAATTGTTAAAATAAAATGTTTAGATGTGAGGATACTCTGTAAAAATGCTTGTAATTTCAGCCTTGCCTGGGAGGTGCACTGGAATCAACGTTTCAGTGGCTGATGCAGGAACTAATTTAGCAGAGTTGCTATAAAAATGTCTGAGGATATGAGCATCATATCAGAGAAAGAGAAGGAACTTTGCAGGACAAGCTAGTATACGGAAGCAAGCCAATTGAGCAGGAGAGCATTTCTATTCCAAAAACAATACTTCATCTTTCATCAGCATTCCTTTAAAGGGCATTAAAACAGACTTTCAAATAATCCACAGTAAACAGTTTTAAAAAACTACAATTTATTGTAGTTACTACAGGTTCAGCAAGTGTTTTTGAACACTAGCATCCTAATTAAAATTCCTCTAATATAATTTAAATTGAATGTCAGCAAAAAGTTTGCTTGGTTTGTTTCACTCTGAATTTGCTCAGGAAAAAAAAATCAACCAAATAGAAATGTGAAGACTACAACAGTTTTTAATTTATCTCTGCCTAATAAAATATACTTTTATTTTTCAATAAGCTATATATTATTTTCTCTGGCACACCTGGAGGGTTTGGATGAAGTCACAAGGAGCTAATTCTTCTTCAGCTACCAGGAGATTAAATTCTTCAATATTCACAAAGTAATTAATTTAATTTTTCCTCAGATGAGTTGGCCTAAAGTTCTGACATTTGACCACAGAATTTCAGCTATGATTTAATTTCCTACTTAAAATCTCATAGTGGTTTGGAAAAAAAAATGGTCTGAGACAGTGTAACACAAATCAAATCAAATCTCTCTGGTACTCAAAACACAAGCAGCTTTGGCTGTAGAAGACACCACCACAAGTCTTAATCTTGTGGCTCATGTACTCAAATTCCAAGTTTCCAGCCACCATTACTGCTGGGTAAACCAACAGGAAGACAATGATTTAGCCACACCAGTCAGGAAGTAAATGCTGCACCAGCATACTTTTGAACAGAACTTTCTACATTTAATACCTGAAAAGCAAATAATTTTTTTAGACCCCTCTAATCTCTTGAGTTATTCATCTAATTCCTGGAGTCTACCTAGTTCTCCATATGATATTTCTGACTAAATAGTTATTACGTATCAGTATTGTCAACCAAGCCCAAGGTACAGGTGAAAGAGCGCAGTGCTGGCAGTTCTTGTACAGACATCTACATCGCTGTCCATCAGCAAGATCCCCCATTGAAGAGAACTGCACCAGGCAGGTCTTCTCATTCTTAACCAAAACATGTTAGAATACAAAATACATTCAAAAGCTTTTTTTGCAGAAGAAAACTTAAAGTGAAACACCTTTCCTGGTGCAGTGCTTTTCGTTTACAATTAGATAGAAGTTCAGCCTATCTTTGAATATATTAATTTCCCCCAACTAATTTTAAATACAATGATACACAGAGAGTATGACCATTGTTAAAACAGAGATTAGCAAGTTTCCCAGATTTCCTCATATCTAAAGAGATAAGTATTTTAAGGAAACACTGAGGTTAAAATATTAAAATTGGGTATTGTGAAAATCAACCAGGCCACAAAGTAGTATGAAATACACAGCGCTGCAAAATTAAGCATTCGTATTAACTTCCTGTAAAGCATTATTTTATACCATCTCAGGAAAATTATATTTGACATCCACAGTTTAAGATCAACTGCTTGGTTAGCTTACTTCAAAATAAAATTAACAAAAAGGAAAAAAGAAAAAAACACCAACACAAAACCTAGAAGTCAAAGGTTAGCTAAGCTCCCCTAAAACTCCCAGCATGTCAACCACTGCTTTTCCCAGATCTCCCTCTGAAGCAATGCCAAGAACGTGGCAATCAGCAAGCCTGAATTCTGTTATGCTCCAGAGACATTCTACCTGGTCTTCATGCAAGAACATGCCAGATACACGGCACTGATTGCTGAATGATAGCTCCAATTTAGGATTAAAAACAAAGACAAATATTCATCACAGCAGCCTGGTAAAATAACTGTGTGGCTCTGTGGACCCAAAATCACATCAACTTGGTTTTTAAGCAGAAAAAAATATTCTATATTCAGTACTCCAAATATTTGGGCACCACTCATGAGCCAGTCAGTCCTATCACAGAAAAGACACACCTCTATTCTATTTTTTTTCTCCCACTTGCACAGCAGTGGCCCTGCATTTCAACTAAAGCACAATTCAGACGTTTAAGCAACATAAGCATGTGAACAGCCATTCTCTGCCTTCAGAAAAAAAAGGTTAGTAGACCACATGGAAATCCTGGAAATCCACATCCTAGCTGAAAGCGAGCATCATTTCATTTCAAACATGGACTATGCTATTTCATCAGTTCACTGGATGAACAATAACAGATAGGAAAAGACATCAAAGTACACCTAGTGTAGTCACTGCTTTGCTGATAAAAATATTTTCAGGAACCAAAAACTCATCTCCTGCTGAAGGCACTATCCTCAACAGCAGTACAGTTACAACGTCAGGACCATGCATACCACACTACTACATACAGGAACAGCTCTTTCTTCTTCAATTAAACAGACTTCCAGTGTTGATCTTAAGTTCTTCTGATCCAAATTTCTTATAGTAAATTGACAACAAAGTTAGGCCTAGATATGAGAGATCAATATAAGTTCTTAATCAGTATGTGTTCTTAAACATTTTTATGACCTGAATGGTGTATATTCCTGTACATCATATACAAAAAGAAAGACTCAGAATCTTTAAAAACTAATATCCCCTCATTACATAAGAGTTTACTAGAGCAGAAACTGTTTAGTCTAAACTAAGTGTTGCTTAAACACTAGTATGTTTTAAGTCACTATCTGTTTTCATAAGTCATTTCTACCTGAGATCAAAATCAATCTAGCTTGATTATAAGGTGTGGAAAAAATTTATTTTCTTCACAGTATGATTTTCATAACTTCTCACTTTTAGTCCTCTACAAAAAAAAGCACTTGTTAAGGACTGTTAAAGTGCTCAAGGGAAAAAATTGTTTCAACTTGTCTATATTCAGAGCATGACTCACACAATATATAGGTCTCCTACAGGGCAAAGCTGACTTCAGAACTTTAAGACAGCAAGTACGGCCACACTGCATAAAAGTGCTAGCTCTGGATTTGTCGCTAACAAGAACCTGCAACAGATAGGTAGGGAAATAACCTAGGAGCAGGGCACACATATAATGATACTCCCTCCAATATATGTTTCTCCAACTCCATTTGCAGGTCAGCAAATTCCTAAGCCAGAGATTGTATCTTTGTATTTTTATAATACTCTCTGACTCCTACGAGCATCTACACAAATCCCACCTTTCCGGATTATAGAAACTATGCACGTTATCACTTTCCGTGAGACCATAGAGAAATCCAGATACTAGAACAATTTAATTGTAAATAAAATTTAAAGAAAAAAAAGTAGCATTATCCAAAGTCTAGAGAGTAACAGTTACAGATAGAGAGATATGTAATCTGTAGTTCTGCAACTTTCCCACTGCAAAATCCAGCCAACAATTCTCCCAAATTTCCTGTGAAAATTTTCACTTTTTTTAAAGGATGAAGTGAAGGAGTGATTTTTGACTTCTAGGTGGAATGTTCAACTGAAGTAACATATATTAAACAAGTTACCTCTGTGAGGGACCCACAAGGTACTCCACCATGCAAGACTCTATCCAAACTATGCAGCGTGGTGGATAAAAAGGCTGAAGAGGGACTGACAGACTTCCTTAGTTTCATTTCATAAGCCTACGGAAGGAGGAAGGAAAAAACAAAAGAGAACAAACAAATCAGAAAATGCCTTTTTTTAATGGAAATAGGAAACTTGTACTTGCTTTCATCAACCTGGTATGACAACAGTTGCCAATGAGCAAAGTACTCCTATCTTCAACTATAGTCTGTTTAGTTCATCACACTTACATCCCATTTATATCTCACAGAGTAAACTTTAAAGTCTTTTTTATTTCCCTCACCACAATATTAAATAATAAGCCTTTAATAACGGAATGACAGAAGTTTTCTCTGCTCCTATTCAAAAAGGTTTGCTTTTAACCCATAAAAATCCAAATTCTAAATAAGTAAACAGTATATGTATGGTTAGTGACCATTATGAAACCCTCACATGAAATCTAAAAACAAAAACTCCCTCATCGACATTCATTACCAATTTGAAACTACGTGAGTTGAAGGAAAGTTTTGCTAAAGAGTCCCAAGTCTTTGAATAAGCCTGTGTAGGTACTCTAACCATTCATCATTTTCCACTTTGCCAAAAGAAAATCCAGCCACTGCCTTGCAGCTAATGTGCTTCCTTCTTGCACTCCCCCCAGTTAGACTACCCATAAGAGTAAGGCACACTACAGCTCATTAGAAAAAATCCTCAAGAAATTATTTTCAGGATCACTTCACTTCTTGGCACAACTTTTATACCTAAAACCAGTTCATACTGAAATTCTTAGTCTTTTTCTGTATTAAACAACTTGTTATTTTTTTAGTTGCAGGATCCAAACTAGAAGCAATTTTTACATGCTGGATAGAAAGATAGGATAATATATTTCCCTCCTGCACTCAGAACAGATGCTGCAAGCCTGAACAATCTCTTGAGGCTATAGTACCTAATAAATGTAACTGCATCAAACTAAAGTGTGTCAGAGATCTAAATTTGAAACCAAAAATATTACTTCATTGTGCAATAAAACCAAGACGCTCTATCTAAAAAGATGAGTGACAAGGTTCAGGTTTTTCCCAGATATTGTATCAAAAACAGTATCAACACAAGTATACTTACTGTCTGCATTTTGGGAGCACAAGCTCGGCTGACTTTACAAAGAAGCTTCTGCACTTCATAATAGCTCTGTCCCGTCACTTTCATTAGCTCCAAGAGGGAAAGACATAAAAAGTCCTGAAAGATAATAAAGCAGTTCAGAGAGCTCAACCTAGGAATCCAGGCTGGGGACTAAACTGATGCAATCTATATACAACTGGTACCCATTCCACAGGTTTACCAACTCTGCCACGTTATACACTATTATGATGTATCTCTCCTACCTTTTCCTCATACAGTATACTAAAAGAAATTGTATTCATATTTTAAAAGACATGGAATAAGATCTGTGTGATGGAACTGCAACAAGATAGCACCTTTTTGCCCACCCGAAACACATTAAAAACACATTTAAGTCTTCCAAATTGCAGTGCTAGGCAGAGATTCTGTATATATGATGCATATTGCTGAAATACATAGGGCCTCTTGGCTCACGGACAGCTTCTTGTCCACCAAGGCCCCCAGGTTCTTCTCTGCAGAGCTGTTTCCACAGCTTCCCTACCTCCACAGGGGTAGTAAGTCCATAAAAGTTTAAATGTTTTAGTTAGGCATCTACCATTTTAAAGCTCCATTTTTACAAGGCAGTAGGCCAGATGGTGTCTGAAATGCCCCCTACTTCACAGAAAGTAAAGCTTCCTGTTTAATTACAAAAAAGTGAACACGATGTGCATTAAAACAACACAAACACACACAAAAAAACCACCACTAAAATAAAAACCAACCACAAAACAAACACACCCTGTAAACAAAATAACGCTTTCACCTGACAGGTAGTGATCTGACAGCGACCCAGCCTCTCACACAGCTTCTGAGACAACTGTGCTCTTCTTAGTTTCTTAGCAGCCATGCTCCTCAACCTGCATAGCAAAGAAAAAAAAAATTTTGAAAGATGATTTGAATGTGACTGTGCAATTTTACTCACTCCTTGCTAAAGAACATGAAAGTGGGCACACGTGTGCATATATATAAATTATACAATGTGACACAGATTTCCCCTGTAAGTCTGCATCACATTAAGTTATATTACCACTCTGAAACCACTTCTGTTAAATTACATCTCCTCATATTTGACCATGTATGAGATCATGCCAATCAGAATGGAAGAGTCAGCAATGTTTATAGGGCAGATGTTTCTGGGATGTAAGAAAGCTGGAAATTACTCAGTCGTGAGCTGAACAAGAACTCCTCATGCTATACTGCACTGGAAAGAAATAAGTTATCTTTGGATGCCTGAACATGAATTGTAGCGTAACCACAGTAAGCATTCAGTCCTAGAACACACACTCGGTTCTGGTGACCCAGGATTCATGACTGGTGTTAAAAGAACAGAAAGCTTGAAGGGCTGGAAACATATTTAGAATGTGTGGCAGTTTGAGCCACGTTAGAAATCTAAAATCCAATTTTCAGGCTTTCCCCACCCCTTCCCACAATTATCCTAACACCGGAGAGAAACTTTCAGATCAGAGGCTTCTGTAGGGGAAAGGGGAAGTATATACATTTATTTACACAAATAAATAATATACAAACTAAAGACAACTATGCCAACAGTTCCGGTGCTGTGATATATGATTTTTTAGCAGAAGTGAACAACATGAATGGTGATTGGCCCTCTAGGGAACACTGCCCTGGCACCCAATCACCCCTGAGCCCCTCAAACTCTCAAGGGGGGCCAATTTCAAACCATGACAGCATGCAAGAGTTAAGATGATCAGTCAAACTCATCTCGTAATGTTCTATGTAGAGCTTACAAACCAAACACACTCAATAAAGAATTCTTTAATTTAGCCAAATATGTAAAAGAAACCAGAGGCCAAAGCTGAGCATATGAAGAAGATAACTACAACATTATTTATTCAAAAAGTGAACAAAAATACCACTGCACCAAGACAGCAAAAATTGTGGTATATTGTGATTGAGACCTAAGCAAATTGCATTTCTGAGATTCCTGCTTAAAGAGTATCTGATTATCTCAGATTAAGACTATTTTATGTAGCAGGTAAGACTATTCTGCAGCTATGGATCCTTCTCCCCCTCAGTTATGTACATTTGTCCTCTTTTTTTTGTCATTCCATTCTACTGAACAAAACCCCACAGGATGGTGTTTGGCTCAGTACAACCCAAAACACACATATACGTATGTTTGAGCACATCGCTGTTTCACACATACTCTTTAGACAACATTCCTAGTATTAATACAATTAATACAGACATTTAGGCAAGACGAAAGGTTTCATAATGCAGTAAGTGCAAAAACTGTAAATATTTGCCATGATGCAAAACTATTACAACTTCGCAGACGCACAGGCCTCCACATCTTCACAAGAAGGAAACTTCATTGCCCCCTCTGCAGAAAATGCTCCCTAAACAGGAGGAAACCCAACCGTCTGACGCACCCCGGCCGCCCAGCCCAGCGGGCTCCGGCGCCCGCCCGCCCCATCGGCCGGGACCCCGGGATGCGCCTGCAGCCGGAGACCCAGCTCAACCCTCTCTCGCGCCGGGCAGCACCGCGAGCACCAGAAAACCCGCTCCCGCCGCAAACCAGCCTCACCCCCGCGACTCGGGGGCGTCCCGGCGGGCCCCGCTAAGCCGTAACAAACCCGCCCGCCCGCCCGCCCTGCCGGGGCGCAGCGCGGGCCCCGCGCACCTGAGAACTTTTTCAAAGCTTCCCCGCGGCGGGCGCGAGGAGGCGGAGCCTCCGGGCCAGACCCATGCTCTCGATTGGTTGAGCTCCCGCCAGTCCCCGCGCAGCGCTGGCGGCAGGCGGCGCGCGGGGCATGCCGGAAGCGGTAGTTTCGGGGGCGGGCGCGAAGGCGGGAGTCTGACCCTGTGATGGCGGCGGCTCTGGCCGGGCAGCGCCCTACTGCACCCGCTCCTCTGGGGGGAAGGAGAGGCGCAAGGGCTGTTCACTGTTCATTCCGCCCGTGAAATTGAGCGCCTCCCCCGAGGCAGGAGCCTTGCACGGCGCTTCCGTGCTGTACCCTAGATATTCCTGCCATCCTTTGCGCAGAAAGCATCAATAAACCCCGGAAGTCTCTCGTATGGAGAATGCCGTGCGTGCGTTCAGTTGCTAGTAAAGAATATTGGATTAGTGGTTCTCGTCTTGAAACTGAGGGCTTACAGACACCTGGTGAGCTACCCGCTGTGGGAGAAATGCCTTTGGCGCTGAGGAAACTATTGCCCTGTAGTGTGAATCGGAATCAATTAGGTAGGAAAAGACCTCTTGAGATCATCGAGTGCAACCTATGACTGAACACCACCATGTCAACTAGACCATGGCACTAAGTGCCACATCGAGTCTTTCCTTAAACACCTCCAGGGATGGTGACTCCACCACCTCCCTGGACAGCCCATTCCAATATCTAATCACCCTTTCAGTGAAGAAATTCTTCCTGAGGTCCAGCCTAAACCTCCCTGGCACACCTTGAGGCTGTCCTCCCCTGTCACTAGTTGCCTGGGAGAAGAGACCACCCCCATCTAGCTACAACCTGCTTTCAGGTGTTTGTAGAGATCGATAAGGTCTCCCCTGACACTCCTTTTTTCCAGGCTGAACAACCCCAGGTCCCTCAACCGCTCCTCATCTAATTGACTCTCTAGACCCTTTACCAGCTTCATTACCCTTCTCTGGACTTGCTCCAGCACCTCAATGTCCTTCCTGAATTGAGGGGCCCAAAACTGGACACAGTACTCAAGGTGTGGCATCGCCAGCGCCAAGTAGAAGGAAAGAATCACTTCCCTAGTCCTGCTGGCCACGCTATTTCTGGGAATGTCTGAGTGTAACAGGTAGAAGCAATCATAAAACATGACTGACGTGAGTGGCTATGGGGTGAGTCCAATTCAATACTAGAAAGTATTGAAGTTAGTACTGTGTGCATATGTTATCTGCATAATCTTTACAAGTCTACAAATTAAACTTAATTGAAGAAAAAAAATGGGCCAATGTTATCTTGGGTATCTACTGAGAAACTGCGCATTGGGAACTGCATGGCCCAGGTTTTGTCTGTTCTGAAAAAGAAATGCCACAGCAAAGCTGCAAAACAGAACATTTCAGTCACTTTTCTAAATGAGTGATCAGGAGAAACAGGAAGAAGCTATCATGAAATGCCCAAAAACTGTCAGCGGAATCACTGTTTTTTTCATACCCTGAAGGGGGCTTACATACCCAAAAGAAATTCAGAGGATATAAGAAGCTAGACAGATATAAGAAACAGCCCATACAAAAGCAACTCAGAGCTTTAGTGAATAGGTAGCTGAACGGGGAGAGATGGCATAGAGGAAGAGCTCCTCCTAGTGTAGTTGACCTTTAAATGTTGACTTGAAAAATGTAAGTCACAATAGAGAAAAGCTGTCTGAGGAAAGAGAAAGGATGTCTGTTGCTGCAGTTTAGTTTCCATGTAAACAGGAGGACATGACCATGGTATAACTCATCATGAACTACTCGTGGACTATTTCCTCCTCAACACAGCAGTAGCAGGAGCCTGACCTTCTCACCTGAGGTGCAAGAAAAAGGAGGATTGCCTTGATGACTTTTTTCCTCCCACAAATGCATTGGGGCTTGCCATTCAGCTCCAGGTCAACAGGCTTCCTTTCCACTTTCTACAAAAACAGAATACCTGAATTAAACCAGAGAACTGTTCTGGGATGTTGAGCAAGGGAAGCAAATCTTAGTAGCCAAGTAGTTAAAAAAATTCATGAGCAAAATCAGTATACCCTGGTAGCTCTCCTGCAAGTGCTTTAAATCTCATTTCTCGCTGGTGTCATGACTGTTCAACTCTCTGCTTCTCAGATCTGCAGATACACTTTTAAACCTACTGGCAAATAACTGTGCACCGTCTTCTCTGTGTAAATTGAGAGAAATAATATTCAGAGGATAATCAGAGACGTGTTCACATACACAGCAACACAGCAGGCAGCTCCACAGCTTCCATATATTTGACTAGGATAGTAGTTGCTAGGGAATCAGGGCCCTCTGCAAACAGCTCTGCTGTGTGACCTTGGTCAAGCCCCTTCACGATAGGTATCTGTTTTCCTTCTCAGTTTTGCTTTTACCTATTTAGTCTGCAAACAGAGTAAGTAGTGCCAACCCAATAGACTTAAGTGTCAGGCATGATACAGCAGAGAACTGCTCTAGTCTAAGCCTTTTGCTGCTTCTGGAACTTATAATAAGAAGGGATTAAAAAGCTAAGATATAATTACTTTGTAAGAACTGAGTTTCACCACATTAATTTAAGAAGGTCATTTAAACTGGCAACACTGGAGAAAGACATACAGAAAGGCGAAGCATAACAGCACCAACAAGCTAAGTCTCATAAAAACAGAGTGATCTAACATCAAGCACACCAATTAAAATAAAAAAGGGAATGGTGATTAGCTTTCTAAGGAGCAAGCAAAAAGGGACCGAGTCTGATTTGAAGGGCGCATGATGAAATACTTATCAGTTTTTACCCAAATAAATACTCAGCAGTTAGGAATTCTGCAAGTCTAGAATTGAAAAGATAATGGCAAGATTTTTGCTTTCTGGAACAGAATCCATGGAAAAGTTTCTTCCTCAAACCCAAGACAGCCTTTTGTGGGCATTTTCAGATAATAGTTTGCATTCTGGAACATTTCAGGTGATTCATATAATTACTAACACAATATCAGCTCGCTGATACTGACTGCAATCCTCAGGTTTATTACTATTTTCCAGCTATCAATTCTTGCCTTAAAATTAGCAATGTTCCCCTACCCCGTGAAAGTGTCTCCCCAAAAGAGTTTACTTTAAGAGAATATAGCTGAGAATATAACAATTCTGACTCACAAGGGTAATCCAGATATTCAGAGCAATTCCCCACCTTATGCTTGCTGACTAGTGTCTAATTAGTCTAATATATTCTTATTCCTTGGGGTTATCTATGTGATGCCTACTACATTCTTTATTAGAAAAAAAATTACTCATGAGCTCCTGAGATTGGAAAACAGTTATAGATCAGTCCCTGCTTTCCTGGGATTAAGGTCCCAAGAGGTTGCTCAATGACAATACACAAAGGAACCTCCAATGAAGTATACTCTCCATTGCTGTCTCCCCAAGGGAGTTGGAGATTTACTTCCAATCCTTTGAGGTTCCTCCATCTCAAAAAAAGAAATTCAAAGGATCTCATAAGGAGGCCTGCACCCTGGTTAAAAATGGTTTATATTCCATGCTGTCCATACGAACACAGCTTTAGCAAAGCTCCTTCAGCTTGAGATTTTGCCAGCCACATCTGTTTCAGGGGTGGGATGGAGGGAAGGGAAACCATCTTTCTGTTGTTTCTACAAGCTGTTCAGCAGAACCCTGCTGTCATCATCAGCTATAATAAACAAATCAAGAACAACAGACCTGTGAAAAAGTAGACCATCTTTTTATTCTGTCTTATTATCCCCCTCCCCCAGTCCTCTGAACAGTCGATGGACCAGATAAATGCTTCTCTCAGAAAATTAACCTTTTTCCTCCTGCTCAGGAGGAAAACCCAATTATAATGAATCCCCTCAGGTATTAGTGAAGACCTGTCTCACCACACACCTTTACACCCAGAAAAAAGAATATTTTTTTTCTCAGGACAGGCAGAAGACATTTCTCTGTTTTCTGCCTCTTCACGCATCCTCCTCTGAATCCAGAATTATTCATCACCCCCAAAACTATTTCAGAAATATTCAGCAGCAATGTAGAATTTTTTTGAAAGGGAGCGTCTGTACCTCCTACCCTTTTTACAGAAAAGGAGACTAGCCACATTCACTGCTATTGCAGGCAGAAGGGCAGACCCACCTGCACACTATAGCTTTGAAAAATTCAGCTGCATTTGCTTTCGGTCCAAACTACTACAAACGAAATGAGACTTCAGGGATTATTCCACTTTTAGCCTGTACTCATCTAAGAAGATTACCTTCCAAGATCAGCTTCCTACTTCATTTAGCTTTTTCTTGTTAGAGCAACAGCAGGAGTCATTCAAGTCTTTGGGCTTTTTATATTTCCCATTAAGTTTCTGTTAGATGAGAAGCCCATGAACTGGTACAGCAGCAACCTAATAATCTATGTGGAGTTGTTTTTACCACTGTTTCGACGGTGCCTTACTCTTTTCTGCTGCCTTGTCTTGAGTTTCCATTTACTGAGGTTGCTGCAATTGTCCCAGTAGCGCTCTCTGCAATCATCAGGCCCTGCCACTCTTGGCACAGAATTTCCTGCAGCTTTCCCTGTGATGCTGAGATAGACCAAAAAGCGACAAATATCACAGTAGCAGGCCTTTAGGAGCATTGCACAAAGCAGGTTATATCTGACTGAGGTAATCCTTAGGTTCCCCACTGCAGCTTTTTGTTTCTGAAGCATGGAAAAACTGCACCATACTCTATTACTCAGAAACTGGACCTAAAGTTTTAGACTTTTGTC